CCCTCCTCCCCCCCCCCCCGCCCCCGTGAACACACTTTTGTAAAAATAGAATAAAAAGGGAAATTCATTTTAAGAACCCCGGTGTATTACATTTGTATTCCCAGGCATAGTGCTGCATCAGTCAGAAAATGCAAAGGAACGTTCAATATAGTATCTGCAGCTTGTGCACCTATGTACAGATATTTGGGGACCATATGCTTAACATATGCAAGAGTGAAATTTGCTGCCAAGTGCGCAAGGGCTTGAGTTTTATAGATGCTGTTTGAATTCCTGCTTGGAATTTACCAGCGTAGCCGTGCTTAAACATGATGGACCAGAGCACTGCGTTAAGGTGGCTTCTGCTTCCTCATCATGCTGCTGTGGGCCAAGAGTGAGTTATTTATGTGGACACATTTCCACTTATGACTGTTAGGGGTAAGCGAGGAGGGGACAGAGCAGCCAATCTGTCCACACCACGTGTGCAAGGGAGTAGGTGGACTGGGGTAGTGATTCAGGCGGGAAGAACAGGCTTCAAGCTTTGCTGGCTTCATCGGTCTCTTCTCTTTCCTTTCAGATATATGTTGGGGAAAGGAGGAAAGCGGAAGTTTGACGAGCATGAAGATGGGTTGGAAGGCAAAGTGGTGTCTCCTACTGACGGTCCCTCTAAGGTGTCTTACACCTTACAGCGTCAGACTATCTTCAACATTTCCCTTATGAAACTTTATAACCACAGGCCATTAACCGAGCCAAGCTTGCAAAAGACAGTTTTAATTAACAACATGTTGAGGCGAATCCAGGAAGAACTCAAACAAGAAGGCAGCTTGAGGCCCGTGTTTGTGACCGCTTCGCAGCCCACCGACCCTCTCAGCGACAACTTCCGCGAGGCCCAGCCGGCGTTCAGCCATCTTGCCTCCCAGCCCCTTCTCCCCACTGACTTCGTAAGCACTACGCCCCTGGAGTCTTGCCTCACCCCAGCCTCTTTGCTCGAGGATGACACTTTTTGCACTTCCCCGACTGTCCAGCACGATGGTCCAACAAAACCACCACCTCCTGCTCTCCAACCAGTAAAGGACAGCTTCTCTTCAGCCTTGGACGAAATCGAGGAGCTTTGTCCATCACCTACCTCCGCAGAGGCAGTAGCAGCTGAAACAGCAGCCGATGACTCTAAAGACCACCCCAGTGAGTCCAACGTTCAAAAGCCCGAGGGCCTCCCAGAGAGCAGAACGGCCGAATCAAAACTCATGGACTCGCTACCTGGCAACTTTGAGATAACAACTTCCACAGGTTTCCTCACAGACTTGACCCTGGATGATATTCTGTTCGCTGACATTGATACGTCCATGTATGATTTTGACCCCTGCACGTCTGCCACAGGCGCTGCCTCAAAAATGGCTCCTGTCTCAGCAGATGAGCTCCTAAAAACTCTCGCCCCGTACAGCAGTCAACCAGTAACTCCAAATCCGCCTTTCAAAATGGACCTCACAGAACTTGATCACATCATGGAGGTGCTTGTTGGGTCTTAAAAATATAGAAATATAGCAACTTTTTTTTTTTTTTTTTTTTTTTTTTTTTTTTTTTTTTTTTTTTTTTTTTTTTTTTTTTTTTTTTTTTTTTTTTTTTTTTTTTTTTTTTTTTTTTTTTTTTTTTTTTTTTTTTTTTTTTTTTTTTTTTTTTTTTTTTTTTTTTTTTTTTTTTTTTTTTTTTTTTTTTTTTTTTTTTTTTTTTTTTTTTTTTTTTTTTTTTTTTTTTTTTTTTTTTTTTTTTTTTTTTTTTTTTTTTTTTTTTTTTTTTTTTTTTTTTTTTTTTTTTTTTTTTTTTTTTTTTTTTTTTTTTTTTTTTTTTTTTTTTTTTTTTTTTTTTTTTTTTTTTTTTTTTTTTTTTTTTTTTTTTTTTTTTTTTTTTTTTTTTTTTTTTTTTTTTTTTTTTTTTTTTTTTTTTTTTTTTTTTTTTTTTTTTTTTTTTTTTTTTTTTTTTTTTTTTTTTTTTTTTTTTTTTTTTTTTTTTTTTTTTTTTTTTTTTTTTTTTTTTTTTTTTTTTTTTTTTTTTTTTTTTTTTTTTTTTTTTTTTAATTTTAAGTTCCAGTATATACACTTGGTAGTATTTCCATAGTCCCTCCCACCCCCGATTCACAGCACTGTGCATGCGTCCTTGCTTGCCTTTTTTGAAAAGAAAAGGATCACACTAGTTTTTGCTTCAAGCAGAGTTGGAGTGCCTTCATCCATGTATGACCACTTCTAATGTATTTTTTTTAAAGTGGTTCCTCAAGGAAGACCGAATATCCTGGTATAGGAAAGAATATGTATTGTAGACAATGTTATGTTATTACAAAAAAAAAAAAAAAAGAAAGAAAAAATTGTAAAAGCTAAGCACAAGGATTATGTTGGGGAAAGCTGTAAATTGCATGTGCATATTTGTCTATTTTTTCTATAAGTTTTATTGCAAGAGGTAAAAAATTTTATTATTTAGATAATCTCAATACCATTTTAGCCCTGTATAGGTTGACTTAGCAATTCAGCCTTTTGGAGGCATTAACCTGCTCCTCTTTAAGTGTTGCATTTACATGGCTGTTTAGAAACTGCTGCCCAAATTTATTTTATATTTTTGTACAGATTCTGCAGTTTATGATATTGTTTTTTCTAAAAACAAATGCTGTTTATACACACAAAAAAAATAGCTATTTTGATAGGATTTGCTCACATAGTTCCTGCATAACTCAGATGTACAAGAACCACTTGTACTTTTATACAGAGTTGTAATGTTTTATATGTGTATGGTGCAAAGAGAAAATTGGATCAAATAAGCCTGCAGTTGGTTTCCCTGAATGCAAACAAAAAAGTGCTTTAAGAAAGGGCTGGGAGCTGCTTCTGCAGGAGTTTCACAAGTGTTTGCTCCCTGCTGTACCCACTGCGCACTACTGTGATTCCTGAAACTTAGAGCCATGTCCTTTTCCAACACGTATGTGAAGCAGTTGGCAGGAAACAGTTGTGGAACTTCACCCGAAGAGGTCCCGAGCACCACCGCGGCTGCAGCCTCCCCGCTCCGGCGCCGAGCGGGTGCCCCCAAACCCGCCCGTGTCCCCTTGCCGGGGCATCCATCCCGCGTGACATGGAGCGCCTTAACACGGCGGCAGATCAGCACTTCCTCACCCGAAGCTCCTGGGAATGGTTTTCAGGGGGAACGTGCCCGTTGCTCACCGAGAGCCAACCTCTCGCGGCAATCTTCCTGACCGACGGGTGTACATGCGGAGTGGGTGGAAGACTGGTGTTGGCAGCGTCCACTTGCCCTTTCTTGGAGCATTTCTCCTTCCCTCTCCCCACCTCACTGTGCTAAGTGCTGAAAAAGGCAACTTCAGTATTACTGCAGTGAAGCTCATCTCTTACCTGCACTGGATGGACTTGCTTTAATATCCATTGCTGTTCAAACTGGAGCCAGTCGCGTTGCATCACTTGGCATCTCATGTAGGGTTGGTTTCTTGTATCAACTGTGTTACCTGCTTTACACTTTATAGACCTGTTTTACAACCAATATACAGACACAGCTTTCTATGCATGGTCCCGTTCCCTGTAACACCTGAGAAGTCTTCTCATTACTGCACCAATAGCGTTTTTTAATTTCATTGTGGTGTACATTTAATTTAAAAAAACAAAAAAAGTTTGCAATGTATCATGCCTATTGCTGAAGTTGCTATGGCATTTTAGTTTTTCAATGGTACTTTAGCTGTTGAGCGCTGGTTACACCCTATATTGTTGACATGCCTATGGCTTCTTTAGGAATAACTTTTATATTTATTTAAGAAATTTTAAATTATGTTTTACGTCATTTGGCAATATTCAGTCAATTCTGCTCCCTTCTTGTCATGGATGAAATTGGGTCTTGACTGCCCTTTAAGGAGGCAGCTTTTTATAAATTGGCACTTTAAAACAGGCCATATATATATTTATTAGTATATAGATAGATAGATGTAACATAGATATGCACACAGACACAGTATAAAAGCAAATACGTTTTGCAATGAAGGAACTCCTAATCGAAATGAAATGCGTCATGTACAATTACAGAATGCTCTTTTGGCTCCTAATTCATCTGCCAGGGTGAGACGTGGGGCTGGGGGAGGAGGGGGGAACTGGCTGAGGGCGTGGGTTTGCGCTCTTCTTTTTTTCCAAGCCGAACTCAGTGAAGCAGCAGGATGCTGATGGATTTGCAGTCGTTTCCTTACACAGACTATTTAAAAAAAAAAAAAAAAAGTTATTGCTTCAAACAGAAAACCATTGACCAAGCGTAGCTTTAGGGACCATCGGAAGTGAGGGGGTGGGGGAGGAGGGGACGGGACACTGCTTTGTCTCACACCCGGCAGTGACCGGACCGGACCTCGCTCAGCCGCACTCCTCAGCCCTTGTAGGAAAACAGGCCGGCCGGATTCTGCACCTCTTGTAACTGGGAAAACGTTAGCCATGCGAGGGTTGTGTGTCTGCCTGCACAAACCCGTAGGCACGCGGCAACATCAGCAGTTTCACACAGTCACTTGGTAAGCACTTGCCTTACCATGGTTAAAAACCAATTTACAGTATGCTGGAGCTGCCCGTTTTTTGGTGATTACTTACCCATTTAAACAAATACCACGTGCTAGGCAAAAGTTCACATCGATGCCATTTTTGGAGAGCTGTGCTGTTGTTTAAGTGGGGTTAGCTGAAGTTTTTGTGTCCGCAGAACAGGAGAGGAGCTCTAAATCCAGCGTACCATTCGGAAGACGATGTCTGTGTATCCTTGGTGCTGAAGCGCAACGTCCTATGGCAGAGTCCTTATGGGAATCCCACAGGACATAAACATACCTGACTTACGGGACTAGGCAAAAGGTTAGCAAGGCTGGTGGCTGGTCTGTAACCGTGGCGGGCTGTGGAGGGAAGGCCTCAGCTGTGGCTTTCTCCCTGCACGGTCACTTACCGGCTGTAGTGTGGCCTTCGCCACGATCCTAACAGCAGCCACGCGCGGAATGTCTCTGAGACCTACACCAGGGATGGAGATAGACATTAATGTGCAATGAAGTGACAAGATGGGAGCAGAATAAAGGAGCTTTGGATCTGAAGTGATTTTTTTTGTTTGTTTTTCATAAATTATTTATTCTTTTTTTTTTTCCTTCTGTAAATATATTTATTTTATTGTGAAGCTAACAACATCTGGATTGTAACATGTACAGAATGTATGGTAGGAATGTATTCTCTTGTAGGAATGTAAATCTGTATGAAAAAGGGTATGGGAGCCAGATTCAGAGAAAATGAATTGAGTTCTAGTCAGGATATGCATGGTTCACATCACTTTTCTATTTTTTTTTCCACTCCTTTTCTAATATGGGTCTGGTTGTTCAAAATATGCAAAAAAGGTATGGATGAGGGACAGTTTTATGTTCAAAATTAGTCCTAGTCAGGCTCCTACCCCCTCAGCTTCTTGTGATGGGCCTTCGCCAGCACTCTGCTGGAATCTGCAACAGGAACCAGGAGCAAATGCAATCACCTCCATCCTGCTGGCCTGATAAATGTTTGAAAAAGGTGATTTTTGGGGGTTTTTTGTTGTGGTTTTTTTTTTTTTTTTAAACAAACACG